CGTCTAACGAGGAAGGGGGTGGACTTCCGGTGGGGCCCTGAGCAGCAGAGGGCGTTTGAGACCCTCCGACAGTGTTTATGCGAGGCGCCAGTGTTGACACTCCCCGAGGGAGTTGAGGATTTTGTAGTATTCTGTGATGCATCCATCACATGTTTGGGGGCAGTCCTCATGCGGAGAGGACGAGTGATAGCCTATGCATCGCGGCAGCTGAAGCCGCACGAGACGAGATACCCTACGCACGATCTGGAATTGGGAGCGATGGTATTCGCTCTCAATATTTGGAGGCATTACCTATATGGGGTCCGTTGTACCATATACACGGATCACAAGAGTTTGAGGCACATCATGGATCAGCCAAACCTGAACATGAGGCAGCGCAGGTGGCTGGATGTAGTCAAGGACTACGACTGCGAGATCCTTTACCACCCCGGTAAAGCGAATGTGGTTGCGGACGCTTTGAGCCGTAAGTCAGCTGGGTCTTCTACCCCAGCAAGGTGCATGAGGATAGCGGTGGATTACCCGCTTGTGAGCTTGATTAGAGATGCCCAGGTTGAGGGCATGCGGCCAGAGAACTGGAAGTTGGAAAAGATCAAGGGAGAGAGCGCCCGGTTTGTTCAGGATAGCCGTGGATTATTGACCCGATACGGTCGGGTTTGGGTTCCGATGTCTGGTGGGGTCAGGCAGACAGTGATGGAGGAGGCTCATAAGTCTCGTTTTTCTATACACCCGGGGCCACCAAGATGTACCACGATCTGAGTTTGAGTTACTGGTGGCCATGTATGAAGCGAGAAATCGCTTGGTATGTCGAGAGGTGCTTGACCTGTAGGATGGTCAAGACCGAGCACCAGAGGCCGCATGGTAAGATGCAGCCTCTATAAATTCCCATGTGGAAATGGGAGTAGATCACGATGGACTTCATTACGAAGCTGCCGAGGACGGCAAAGGGGTTCGATGCTATATGGGTCATCGTGGATCGGTTGACCAAGAGTGCCAATTTCTTGGCTATTCGGGAGAGTTCGTCGGTCGAGAAATTGGCCAACATGTACGTCCGCGAGATTGTCTCTCGCCATGGGGTTCCGGTCTCCATCGTTTCTGACCGGGATGTCAGGTTTACCTCCCGTTTCTGGCAGAAGTTCCATGAGGAACTGGGTAAGCGCCTGCACTTTAGTACATCGTTTCATCCTCAGACCGACGGCCAGAGTGAGCGGACCATTCAGACCCTCGAGGATATGCTGAGGGCGTGTGCTATCGACTTCCGAGGGAGTTGGGATTCCCATCTACTTCTTGCAGAGTTTGCTTACAACAACAGCTATTATTCCAGTATAGGCGCCCCGCCTTTTGAGCTGTTGTATGGTCAGAAATGTAGAACCCCGATTTGTTGGGGTGAGGTTGGACACAGAGTGTTGGGTCGGACGAAGGTAGTTTTGCAGACTACCGAAAAGATCCAGCAGATTAGACAGCGACTACAGACCACCCAGAGTCGACAAAAGAGTTACGCTGATAGACGCCGATCAGATTTGGAGTTTCAGGTTGGTGACATGGTACTCTTGAAGGTGTCACCCTAGAAGGGCGTGATTCGCTTCAGAAAAAGGGGAAAGTTGGGTCCCCGCTATATTGGGCCGTTTAGGGTCATCGCCAGGATTGGTAAAGTGGCGTACATGCTGGAATTACCAGATGAGCTCAGCCGGATTCACAACACCTTTCACGTTTCGCAATTGCGAAAGTGCATTATGGACCCAGAGGCAGTGGTGCCACTGGATGACATTCATGTTGATGAGCGCCTGAATTATATTGAGAGGCCGGTTGCCGTTTTGGAAAGGAAAGTGAAAGTCCTGCGCAATAAGAAGGTTCCGTTGGTGAAGATACAATGGGAGCATCGGAGGGGATCCGAGTGGACATGGGAGTCGGAGGCTGAGATGCGGGAGCTTTAACCGGAGTTATTCGCTACAGCAGACTTCGAGGACGAAGTCTAAGTTAAGTGGGGGAGAATTGTAACACCCCAACCGTCAGGTATCATTATTATTCCATTTAGATTTCATGTTTTAAGGTCTACTCGACGAGTTGACGCTGTGACTCGTCGAGTAGCAGCGGGTCAGGACACGTCATTTAATGAGTGACTCGGCGAGTCGGCTTGGGGGACTCGACGAGTAGGAGCTGACAGAGGAAACCCTAAATTTCAGGGTTTTTGCACCCTATATATTGGACCATTAGCGCCTCCCACTGTCCTCTATCACCCCTTAAGAGCCAGAAACCCTAATTTCCGTGAGTGTGAGCTTGGAGAGTGTTTTGGAGCTTTGGGAAGTGATTTTGTGAAGGAAACTTGTAGATCAAGAGGCTAGCATCAAGGATTTTGTGTGGATCCAGAGTCTACTTCAGCTTGGGCACGTTTTGGAGGTATCAAGCTGTCACCTTGACCTCTTTTCTTCTAGAATCTTTCATATGTGAAGATTAGGGCTTTCTTTAGCTATTCATGAAGGGATTTTTGGTATGGGAGCTAGATCTGAAGTTGAAACCTCAGATCTGAACCTCTTTTTAAGTCCTAAGTCCATAAAGTTCTTAATAGGGTCATGAAGGAACCCTTGTTTATGAGTAAAGTCCCATTCAAAGCTTAGATGTGGATTTTAAGTCATGCAAATACGTAAAGGTAGCAACTTTACGTTGCTAATGCACTCTAGGGACCTAGATCTACTGTTTGGATCAAAGGGGTAGTTCAGAATCGCTTGATCATGAGAGTATGCGTATGGACTCGGCGAGTTTGGAAGGTGACTCGGCGAGTCGGGTAAGGTTTTTTCCAGATTAGTCCCGCTTGGACTCGGCGAGGTCTGGGAAATGACCCGGCGAGTCAGATTGGACTTCCAAGCTGAGTCGCGTATCGACTCGGCGAGTCTGCTAGAGACTCGCCGATTCGAGTCGAGACATTCTGGAATCAAGAGGGACTCGAGACAGAGAAAGTTATATTCAGCAAACAGGTCAACATGGACTGTTGACCATTGACCAGGGACTTGACTTGACTGTGGGATGTCTTGTACCTCCCAAGGGCATTTTGGTAATTTAAGTAATTATTGAGTGGACCACTTATGGGTACAGGCGAGGTGGTTGGAGCTATATCGAGAGGTGTGGACAGTATCATTCCGAGCTACTAGCAAGGTGAGTTATCCTCACTATATCAATAGGGTCTAAGGCACCAAGGCCGGCCCTTTTAGTTGTTATCTTGGTTACAGTATGCTACATGTAGTTATGATCTGTTAGATCGGTAACATGATAAACAGTATGTTGTTATGCTCTTATGATTCGTTAGGATTGGATGTTAGTGGCCTGTTTAGGTCGGTGCTCTGGTTAGGAGAGATTGCTGTGATCGATGATCTGTGAGATAGTTATATCTGATGTCTGTATATGCTAGCTTATGTAGTCTTGTGCACATGGTTATTTGCTTGATGTTTGGGTTGAGGCGGTCCTGCTTTGTGCTGAAGGCCAACATACCTTACGAGCGGTCCGGAAAGACTGTAGGCACGTATGGCGGTCCAGTCATATCGAAGGCTCGGGATAGATCCAGATAGACTGCAGGCCCTGCAGGGCGGTCCAGTCAGGCCGAAGGCCCAATATGCATGTTGTTGATTATCTGTTATTGATATGGTATTATCGGTATGGTATTGGTATTTTGGGGGTAGCTCACTAAGCCCTCGGGCTTACAGTTTCAGTTTATTGTTTCAGGTACTTCCGGAGATCATGGCAAGGCGAAGGCTTGACCGTACCGCTCCTCATCCATATGATTATATTTCTCATTTCTGGGACACTCTGATGAATAATATTTTGAAAACATTTTGTAAAACACTATTTGATTTCATGGTTGAAAAAGTTTAAATTTGGCTTAAATTTTTGGGATGTTACATAAACGAACCGAACGAGGCTTGTTCATGTTCGTTCGTTTAAGTTAACCGAACAAATCAACGAACATGAACGGTTAAACGAACGAGTTTTCTTGTTCATGTTCGTTATTTTAACAAATTACATTGTTCATGTTCGTTCGTTTATGTTCGTGAACATACTAAACGAACATAAACGAACAAACATAAACAAACATATATGAACATATAATATAGTAATGTAATCAAACACAATTAAACATATATGAAGATAAAAGGAGCTTATATGAATGAACATAAACAAATGTAAACGAACAACATTAACGAACGAGAGCATTGTTCATGTTCGTTCGTTTAACTAAACGAACGAGAATTTGTGTTCATGTTCGTTCATTTATTAAATAAACGAACATAAGCGAACTTCCCGCCGAACGGTTCACGAACAGTTCGTTGAACGTTCAGTTCGTTTACAGCCCAAATATCATTTTATTATATTAGTTTTATATAAAATCATTTATGATTTATATGGATATAAAAAAAATAGTGAATTATGTATTTTAATGATATATTGTATCGATATAAATTACAAAGTTCTTATCATTGAACTCGGTGAATTATAACAACTAAAAAGTGTAATTAGTTTTTAATTCAAATGATATTTAAGGTATTATATTCATTGAAAAATATCATACAGTTTATTAAATTTCTTTGCCTTCAGACACTCATAAAAGTTAATGTTCATTCATAAAAGTTAATATTCCAACATATATATTGTATGAAAAATATACTTTATAACAATATAATAAACATATTATATAATGATATAAAAAATGAATTTGAGTAGAATATATGTTATATATATGATACATGTCAAATTAAAACAAATTTATATCATTATCTAAATAAAAATAAAATAATCTCAATAATATATTTAAATTTATAACGAGTATTAAAAAATCATTCTAAACAACTAAATATAATTATAAAAAAAGAAAAAAAATAAAATAAAATAATACTGTATTGAGTTGTTGCACTTTGTTTAATAGGTTTGATAACGTGGGTCCCACTAGCTTTTATGGCCCAGCCAAATTACACCATCTATAAATGCCAATAAATACTTATTTTACTCGCTAAAACCTTCAACTACATAAAAACATGAGATCTCTTTCGACTAGTTTGTTTTTCTTCTCCCTTATTCTAGTAAGGGTTCATTCATTTTCATGTTCATGTAGAGTGCAATTTTATTCAAAATTCTTGAATTTTTCCAATTTTCTATAACTATTTTTCTGGTTTTTGGTGTTTAGCTAGCAAGTCTCCATGATGCAAGAGAAGGCCCTAAAGAATACTGGAGAAGTGTAATGAAAGATGAACCCATGCCAAAGGCGATTCAAGATGTTCTTATTCAAGATTCAACTCAATCAAATAATAACAAAGATCGGTTCACAAAGAATTTTGATACAAAACCTAATCTTATAATTTATCACTCTCATGTGATCTATAATCAAAAAGATCATGAGTTAGTTTCTTCTAAGATGAACTAAATCCTTTGTTTAAGAATTAAGCGGTGATATTTCTTTCGTGAATGCATTTAAAGTCTGGGTTAAACATTTTTGTGTGCTAAGACAAAATATTTCGTCTCATAAATTTATCTTTTATCAACTTAAAATAGATTTGTAATGATTATTTATTTTTTGTGATATTGATTTTGTTGTTTTCATATTATTTATTGCACCTTCTAGTTTTATAATTAATCTTGCCTTAGAAAACGAATGCACTCCTATCATCCTTTGTATATATTACAAAATAAATAGTTTAAATTTGATTTTGATTTATGATATGAAAGTTGCGGAAGATAAGTTGGTGTTTAGTCATACCGGGTTTGCCCCTGACGGACGTACGCCCTGCGTACAAGTGGTACGCCCAGCGTACCAGGGGGCTAACCCTGTATCATGCATGCTTCGAAATATGCTCGACGTACCTTATGTACGCACAACGTATTAGGTCTTAAGTCAAAATATAAAGGGACAATAAATAGATAAGATTTACCTTGACATAAATGATACTACAACTAGAAAGGTGACCCCCACGTTGCGGGGGTCGGAAGGTGTCACTTTTGTGTGGAAGTATAGTACATTGTTCTAATTGGTAGATACAGTAAAGTATGTTGCTATTGTGTACGTTTCGCCCATTTACAAACACACAAATATGTTGCACTATGCTATAATATAATGACCCCTTTGTGTTGCAAAGTAAATAGCAAGTGCGACAGCAACAATTATTTATAAAGTTTTTGTAACAACACCTCTCTACCAAAGTACAACTCCAAATGACGATTTTGACTTTTTGAGTATAATGTGGTTACGTTTTGTCTATGAAACCAATTTTGTACTCAAAGTTGTTGTCTGGTTATGTGAGGCATATAATCAGAGCAGGGCCACCATTCCCAACTCAAGAGCTTACACCCTTCAATATCAACCCCTTTGCCTGATTAGAAAGACACTTCAATAAATTTAGCAACTGAATATGTCAAATCTTCAGCTGGTCTTATAAGTAATTGCACCTCCCGACTTAGTGAACCTACATTTTCAAAATTAAATCAAGCAATAAATTTGCAATAGTTAATTCATAACCCGAAAAAAAAAACAAATGTTCCTAACCTTATTTGAATTGGGAATAAAAATTAGTGCATCATTAACCGTTATTGACTTTAACCAACCTGGAGTAAATAATGACAACTGCAATGCAAATGAAGAGTGTAATCAAATAACTATTTTAAATTTACAAACACCTTTAGCATCAAAATAGCCATCAACTAACACACACACACACACAAAAAGTACAATAATTTCAAGATGAATCAACAGCCATTTCATTGTCACATTTTTCCAATTCCATTCCCATGACACCATCCTTCTCATTCTTCTCCACTTTCTCAATCTTTAATCTCTACCACATCAGTTCATTCAATATTAGTGTTTGACTTTGACTTTGACTTTGACTGATGTCAATGGAAAAAAAAGTATTTTATAAAAAGGAAAACAAAATTAATTGGAAAAAGAAGAAAATCAAAACCTTAGTTTGTATAAAACAATCGTTAGCCATTTGGGCAAACATATTTGCATAAAGTTTGGCATCTCTTTTGTTACTCTCAGCTTCAAGTTGCTTTAAAGTCTTGTGAATAGACTTTACCTCCCTACAAAATAACAAAACCAAAATAAAATTACAAAGGTTTAATAAAATGACCAAAATGACCTCCAAATCTTATAGTTTTACCTATTTTGTGGATCGGCTTCCAAGGCCTTCTTGGTGTCCAATTCAGTCGATTCATAATCATAAGTTTGCATGTAAGCTTGTGCCCTTCTGTATAAAGCTTTCACATTGTAAAACTCAACATCCAACACCTGTTGGAAACAACCTTGTATAATAATAATAATAATTAAAACTTGGAATTGTTTAAAAAAAAAGTATAATGGTTTTATGATTGATTACCTTTGAACATAAGATGATTGCATTTTTGTGATCATCTAATTTGAGGCTACAAGCAGCAGCATTCAACCAGCATGAAACTCTTAATGATTTCACAACCTTTTCATCATAATCCCCAAACTGCCCTTCTTCACTAACATAATCCACTGCCTAAAAACATAACATGCATATCATATAAATGATTTATATTTATATTTTTTAAAAACTTTAAGAGTAAATTACACGAATGGTCCCTATGGTTTGGGGTAATTTGCGCGTTTGCTATTATCCAATTATTAATTTCTTCTTTAATTTATTTTATCATTTATATTATTTTCATTTATTATTATAAGTAAGATACCAATTCCAATTCAACATGAAGCATAGAATTTGGTGGAATTGGAGAGAAACCATTGGGTAGTGATGTAATTGTAACCCCTTCTTCACCAAATCCATCTGTAGTTCATAAAAAGTCACATTATTTATCAATTTTAATTTATAATTATATTTATGGAATCTTACACTGTGGTTGAACAATTAAATCGACTTTCTCTTCTCTTGTCATTGTCTTAATTGCTTTTGGAAGTGCCAAACATTAATGACCTAGTAAGACAGTATAATATTATTTTAAAGAAATTTGGTTACATGAAAATGGTTGAAAGAAAATAAACTAATTACATAATTATTTATTCACCATCTTTCAAGTAAAACTCAACACCTTCTTTTGGTGATTCATAAATTATAACACCATCGGGCAGCTTCACTACATACTTCACTGCATTAACCAACATCAGTGAATGATTATATGTATTTTCACATCACTTATTAGTTAACAAACTTGATATAAAATGGAAAAAAAAGAAATGCAAAAGAATACCTATAACCTCATCCAAATCGCCAGGTTGTCCTGTTTCTTCCCCCTTCTTCACTACTCTCTTAAGAATGCCACCATCTTTACAGGCATCTAATACTGCGATCCATGAGAGAAGCTCTATTTCAAACTGAATGATAGAATTTGGAGGCACAACATTTGTGACTGAAACTCCAAATCCCAATTGGGGAGGCAATGTAAACAATGCTATTTCTCCTTTCTTCATTGTAAGTACCGCTTCATCAAAACCAGAACATATCTGACCTCATTGGTAATGTCAAACCAAAGCGACAACAGATGAAAGAATAAAGATCACATCACATTGTTACAGAAAAGAGAAAAAAAACCAATGGTGAAGAACAACAAACCTTGGCTAATCTTGAAGGAGAAGGGTTCCCCTTTTTCTCTAGTGGAGATAAATGTTGTCCCATCAACCAAACTCCCTACATAATGAACTGAATCCATTCAAAAAATTGATTATTAGTTTAAACATAATATTCAATTGGGAGAATGATAGTCAATTTGGAGTCTGGTTCCATGAATCCAATATCAATAGTAAAACAGAGTGATATTTGAGTAACTTCTTTTAGTGAGAACTCCAACCTGGAAAATGAGATGTCATATATAGTCTGTCCTTTACCTATTTCAACAAAAATCCAATACGAAACCTTAAAAAAATCATAAATAACATGTTAGCTAAAACATTTCATGATGAAAACATAAAAAAAGAAAAAGAAATAGTAAAGGAAAGTGAAGCAAATAGGTAGTAGATTTCAAGTTCACATCTTCCAATTGAAATAGAAACAGAAACATCGTTGTTCATGAAGGTATGAGAAAACAATACAGATCAACTGATCTTTGAAAAATAGCAAAGTCGATAAATGATTTGTATTTCCAAAGTGAAGAAGCTGACAGATGTAAAAAAATAAACAAAAAAGCGAGCAACAACGCACCTCTAAAATTCACGAACTTCAAATCGGAGAAAGAGTTCAACCGATTAGGGCTTACAAATCGATTATCAAGGTACGAAAGAAAAAAACTGGAAAGCGAGGTTTGATTAATTTTGGGGGAGAAACTCAATGGTCGATGTTCTTGGAAGCATAATACATTCACGTGAACATGGTAGACGTCGCTAGTAGGCTGGCGAAGGGAGCGCCCGATTGTCAATCAACCATTGGTAAATCGATTTCTATTTTCATCGACGAAGCAAAAATCAATAGATAATCGACGGAGAGAGATATTTGATGGGATAAGAGGGAAAACGGGTTTATGTGTCGACTTCGAAGGAAGAACGATCTATAAAATCGACAGATATTCCGTCAACAAATTTAGGGCTCGAAAAGACAAAGGAGACTGAGTGTGGATCGACGGTGAGGAGAAGAAATGGGGAAGTGCGGTGGTTTTAGGGATTTTTAATCGGAAGAGAGTAAGAAGCGGTGGGCAGCAACCTGATCCTTATCGGCACAGAAAATAAATAAAAAAAAAAAAAATTCAGCCAATGACAGGAAAGAACTGTTAAAAATTTTCACATCTTTAATATATATATAATAATTACCCACTTTGTACCTAACATTAACGGTCTACCAATGTATAATATAGTGACTTAAAAGTGTTTCGACATTCCTCCTCTTCATCACATATAGTCTATTGTTCCATAAAATCCTATGTCTCATACTTTCCATATGAACATGTGACATACATCTGTCATCTGATCCAAGGAATGAAAGCTAACAATTCTCCAATATGTTTTATAATCATTCAATTACCAAACTCAATATTTGATTTCTTCTGTACTTTTGCTTGAAGTATCATGAGTGAAATTGTTAGCAACTTATGTTCATTCTTTTATTAAAGGGAAAACTACAATAAAGTCCTTACATATTGGCCTCATAATCGATTTAGTCTTTATATCTTTTTTTGTTTATTCAATTATGTCTCCAAAACCGGTAATCATATTCAATTTAACCCTTTTACCCGGTCAACGGGTCATCTAACTTTCAAAAATTACATTTTTGGCCAAGATTTTAAAATTTTATTACAAATTTGGTCCAAATTTTACACTTTTGACCCAGATTTTAAATTTTATTATAAATTTGGTCCAAAATTTACCCTTTTGATCCAAATTTTAGATTTTTGTTATGAGTTCATCCTAATTTTAATTTTTTTACAACTTTTTTTCTCAAAATTTTGTTTCGAATATGTTTTTTCTTTATAAAATCATATTTATACAAAAAAAAACATATTTTCACATAAAAAATCTTATATTTTCTATATAAAAACTTTTTTTAAAGAACTTTTTTGTATACGAAATACCTATTTACACAAATAGGTATTTATTAAGTACATAAGTATATACAAATTCGTTTTTATAAAAAAAAATGTTTACATACATATGTTTTACAAAACAAATGTATATAAACACCTATTTTATTATAAATACATTTGTATGCAAACATATATTGATAAAAAAATGTATACAAACACATGTTTCATAGTAAACATATACATTTTTTTTTTGGTAAAACATATTTATATGCACCCAAATAAGTATTTGTATACATTTTTTGTAATATATATATATATATATATATATATATATATATATATATATATATATATATATATAATAAACATCTATTTTATAATAAATGCATTTGTATTCAAACACATTTATATATAAAATATATACAAACACATGTTATGTAAAAGATTATTCAAACATATTTTTATAAAAAAAAAATATATACAAACACGATTTTATAAAAAAAAATATAGATACACACCTATTTGTATATTCACACAAATAGGTGTGTATCTATATTTTTTATATGCATTAGGTGTATATCTATATTTTTTTTATATGCACACAAATAGGTGTGCATCTATATTTTTTTTATAAAATCGTGTTTGTATACATTTCTTGTATAAAAACGTGTTTGAATAATATTTTATATAATACGTGTTTGTATATATTTTATATATAAACGTGTTTGAATACAAATGCATTTATTATAAAATAAGTGTTTATAATATATATATATATATATATATATATATATATATATATATATATATATAAATATGTTTTTACAAAAAAAAATGTATACAAAAACTTATTTGGGTGCATATAAATATGTTTTTACAAAAGAAATGTATACATTTACTATGAAATAGGTGTTTGTATACATTTTTTTTATAAATATGTGTTTAAATACAAATGTATTTATAATCAAGTAGGTGTTTGTGTGTGTATATATATATATATATATATATATATATATATATATATATTAAAAATACATGTATGTATACATTTTTTTATAAAAACGGATTTGTATATATTTATGTACTGTGACAACCGTCAAATTCTGGTCAAGTCAAAGTCAAATAAAGTCAATAAGTCAAACCGGTCAACTCAATTAATCTTGTATATTAGGATTTACATTATGTTACTACTGTAGAACTCGCTATTTTAATAGGAAGTTATCACTTGAAAAATTCATATGTTCAGAATTCTCAAACCTTAATCAGGGTAAGTGATGAGACTACTTGATAAAACACTATTCCCTCGGGAGCGTATAACATTCATAACGAGGCTTAGCGAGGTTTACAAACCTTGCGTGATGAAGCTTAACATCCAAAAAAGGGCACAAACGAAGTCTCTCTATCTCAAATCTCTCCCAAATCTCTCCAAGAATATGAAACCTCTCCTAAATCTCTCCTAGTATGTGAAATCTCTCCCAAGTCTCTCTAAGTATGTGAAATCTCTCCAAGAATGTGAAATCTCTCTAAGTATGTGAAATCTCTCCAAGAATATGAAATCTCTTCTAAATCTCTCTCAAAAATCTCTCTCAATTTTTTATAATCACTCGAGGCATCCCGACCCTTAATTTAGTCAAAAACAACTCGAAACGGAAAGATAAACGAAAAAAACCCCCTCTTAGAGGCGAAACCCCTATTAGAGCCGAAGCTCCAAGGACCGAACCCGAAGGTCCCTTACGGAACCGAAGCTATAGAACCGAAACTGCAGGGACCGAAACCGAAGCCTCCCTTTTCACTCCATTTCGCCTTCGGGTCAAGTCACTTCGGACCGAACCCAATTTCGACCTATTTCGCCTTCGGGCTATTTCGGGTCATCTCGCCTTCGGTCCATGGCAGTAGGGACCGAACCTCGGTCCTATCCGAGCAACTTCGCAGGAAGGCCCATTTCACCCGGTTTTCGACCACGACTCCGTTTTAAGCCCATTTTTCATTATTTTAACGTGGGATTTTCGCCCAAACTCATATTTTGACATATAAGACCCTATACATTCATAATTTAAACACATTTTTAGGGAAATCTTTATTTAGGAATAAAATCTAGTGGGTATGGCTTAGAGGTGGAGTGTTGACTTTACCTTTGAGTCATGACACAAGCAACCCTCTACACCCACTCCAAGACCATACTCAGTCACTATTCACCCATACCTAGTCAACTATTTGTCCTTTCACCCTCTTTCTCCAGCTCATAAACTTTATTAAAGGCTGGAAGTTATTATCTCTCCTCCCACTTTATTCACTCTTTCTCAAAGAAGAACAAACACAATTCTCTCACTTTCTCTCTCTCTCAAACTCGAGACTCCAAGGCTGTGATTGAGCTTCTCCTTCACTTTTGGGTAGGTAATTTCATCTTTCACGTGATTATCTTACACTCTTTCACCCAAATCATGGAATCCTTACACAAATATCATCATATTTGTTCATAGGATCTTCGAATCTTCAAGTATCTCCCAAGTGTTCTTGACTTGGAAACTTCTTCTTTTCATCATCCATCTTAAGGGACCACTCAAGGTGAGTTCATACCCCCACATTTTCATGTTTTATTCAAGTTTTAGGGGGAGAATACAAGTTATAATACCAAATACTTAACTAAACCCAAACATCAGCTTTCAACAGGAAAGTTTGTTTCCATTCACGGACTGTTTTGATCATCTTAAACTTAATATCTTTCAAAACTGTTTAATATGCAAATAGTTCAGGTTCTTACCTTTAAAATGATTACTTGCACATCTCCATATGATTTTTCTACAATTTATGGTGATTTTTACAAAACTACCTATCATTCCAGAAACGGATTCGGACCAGTCTGTGAATATGAACATTTTCACACAAGTTAGAGACTTCTAAAAATAATAATAAAAATGATGAATAAACTAGACACATTTTCTAAACTCTCATAGTTTACGGATTCAGTTTTGGACTTCGTGTGATTTTTCTAAGACTTTTCAAAAACAGTGTAGAAAAGTTAAAAACAAGTTAACAGCTTACAATATTCATAACACTTTGTAACATGTTGAGCAAAGTGTAACCTTTGATGATTTTGTATTTTGCATGTGTATATCTGTTGTGGTATGTTTATATAACTGAAAATACTCTATAAAGTATAAAGGTC